AAAAAAAAAAAAAAAGATAAGACACAGAGATAAAAATTTTAAGAAGACTCCGAACACGAACAAGTTAAATGGGTTAAAACTAGAGAAAACCGAACAGACAAGCTGCAGCAAAATCTGATCATAAACAGTCAGGCACAGCATTAGTATTCTGAACATAACTTAAAATAGGAAGATCGTATTGAAGTGATTCTTGCTCCAATACAATCTCAAGACACACATCTAATACTATTATTCAGACATCAAACATAAAGGAGTGCGCTCAAAGGGTGAAAACTACATCAAAACAGAACACTCCTGCTGCTGAAAACTGAACATATCATTTATGCACAGTCCAGATATATTGAACATATCCTTTTCTAGAAAATAGATATTTGATGGACTCTAAAAATCATGAGAAGACCAGAAACAGAACTACAATTCTTATGTAAGACGTTGAACATTTAAGAGCAAGTTAAATAGGATGAAAAATGATTCAAAAAGTCAACAGTTGTAGTAGTGCTGCCAATTAGATAGATAACAGCAAGCAGTGTGTTTGTATTTAGTAAAAATAGGTGCCGAAGTAATTCTTGTTCCTCGAAAATGCTTAGAGACACCTCAATGACTTTCATGAAGACATTGGAAGCAAAACAGGTTGCTAGGCAAGTCAAAAAGTATAATAAACAGGCAGAGCACATAACAATGTTTGACGCAAAATCAGACTGCAGTGATGGTTTTTTGAACATAACCTTCCATACAATATAGAAAATTGGCTGATTCTTGCACCAACAGAAAACCAAGGCACCGAACTACAAGTTTTATGAAGACACCAGAAACAGACTGGGTACACGACCAGGATCAAACAATAAAAGAACGGACAGACTGTGCACCATAACATTTGTTGACAGAAATTTCGGAAAGTACAATTTAGGCACTAAATCTATCACATTCCGAAAAAAGGACACCCAGCACACACACACACACACGATTAGCCCAAATCAAAACAAAAAATCACCAACATGATCCTAAAGACGAGAGCTATCAAATGGTATACGTTTAATAAAGTTTCGGCAGCCCCAAATCCCGTTACGGGGTCGCCAGTTTCGGTAGCCCGAAGTCCGGTTACGGAGTCCCCGGCTCGTGGCCCCGTTCGGGTCCTTCCCACACCACATCGGTTCTTAAAATTGTACGCAACAATTCGACATATCAATTGTGAGGACTTACCGACAAGAAGATGATTGCTGAGGTGGTGATGGCGCTCGGACGAAATAAGAAAGTGAAAATGAGAAGCAAGAAGGAATGAGATAGAACTCTGGCAGAGCAGTACAAGATCAAATTTAAATATAACTATAAAATTTAGCTTTATAATTATTTACTGAAATAAATAATTTTTAATAATATATTTTGTCAAAGGGGAAATTTTTTTTGGCTATTATGTCGGTTATAACTATAAAATTAAACTTTATAATTATTTACTTTAAAATAAATAATTTTTAATATATATTTTGTCAAAGGGGAAAATTTTTGGGTATTATGTCCGGGTCTGAATTTTCAACTTTCTCTATTGAAAATTTCAATTTTAGACATATTTTTATATTCTAGTTTCAATTTAGGATGCCAAAAAATTTTGTATTTTGGCATAATTATGTAAACCAAAATACTATTATTTTAATTTACATGTTAAATGCTTACTAGTATGTAACCCGTGCGATGCACGGGCTAGTACATATTTTGAAATATTTTAAAAAATTAAAAGATCATTAATTAATAAGTTATTATAATATGTATGACATTTATAAAGTAAACATGAAATCATCATTTGTATAAAGTTATACATTATTAAAAACCTCCTTATATACAACGTTTACTGGGTAACTCATCGTCCCCACAAACTAATATTTACAACCCCTTCCTATTAGTAACACGTGAAACAGCGACGTATAACTGACCATGACTAAACACATGTTTTTTAGTTAATTTGTGTATCTGATATTGTTAAGTATATATATTTGTTTATCTAATGGTTCTTAGTTATTTTAATTGTTAATTATTAGTAAAGATTATAATATCCCGATTATACAATATATATTAAAATAATAAAATCATCATTAAAATAATTAAATCGTCATTAAAACAAAACTTTATACACAAATTCATTAATAATTGATTATAGAGACACAATTTATAGAAACAAT